AGATCCTTCCAAGTAGGATGCAGCCATGATTACCCCTTGTTCGGGTTGCATGAGCTTGTTCCTCACGTAGGTCTGCACAGTCCTGAACCAAGTGTCGAGGTTCTCATCCTTGTTCTTGTCTCCACAAAACGACTTTGTCTGTGCTAATGCTACCTTTGGAACCCATTGGGTAGATGGCCCCAGCAGTCAGTGCCTGCTGTGCAGGTTACCTTTGGAACCCATTGGGTCGGTGACCCAGCAGCCAGTGCCTGCTGTGCAGGTTGCTGCACCTTCTGCTGTGCAGGTTACTGGACCGGCTGCTACCCTGTAGCTGCAGCAGCTGGCTGAGAAGAAGAACAAGAAGCCTGAGCCTGCATACTACCTGTTAACAAACCACCTGATGGAGGTATTCCAGACTGAGGGAAAAAGGGACTTGCCATCACCGGCAATGCCATCGGCGGTGGGACTGCAGGCTGCCGCCTGACACTGGGTCCCATGGTTGTGGACGACACTTGCCTTCCAAACCCTCTTTGGGCTTTCAGTATCTGGCCTAGGCTGGAAAGGATATGATCGACTTTGTTGTCCTGTACAGCTGACATCTCATAGACGCCTAGCATTCCAGCCTCACAGCTCGCTCAGCATTAGCGAGCCGTGAACGCTGGAATGCTAGATTAGAATCATCCAATCCCTTACCCTGCCCTTGTCCACTTCTCTACTCTCTAGTCTGGCTTTGCATGTGGTAGCTCTTCTAACTCTGTCCGCTGCGTCCTATGCTTGGTTTTGTAGTCAAGTATGCAGAGCCTCTGCCTCCTGGATCTCCAGGTCTTCCTGCGTAAGGGGGGGTGGGTGGCTGGACTGCAAACCAGCCATCTGACTCGAGGGCGCATCTGGACTGACAACTATAGAGGGAGACAGTGTTACAGCTTGCATGGCCTGAGTCTGCTGGGCCATTGCCGCCGCTGCTGCTGCTGCAGCCATAGCTAACGCACGCTCATCTACTGCTGCTGCCTCTCTTGCCCTTTGCAAACGCTGGGCAGCACTCTCTGCACGCAGCTGTCTCTCTCCACCTGGTGGCGAGCCCGGAAACACAACAGGTTGTCTATGGGCATTCTGCTGTGTGACAATCTCTCGTCAGCTCTCTCCTCCTCACTGCTGCTCCCACTCATCCGCTACAGCACATCACAATCTGCAATAGTGTCCTCAAGGAACCTACCACAGCATAGTGTCTGACTGATTTGAAAAATAATTAAATATGTTGGTCCATTGTTTCAGAATGCAGTTCAAGTGGTGTGACCAGAAGTACACAAACTCATGCAAATGATCTAACTAGTAACTCCTACTCGACTAGTTCTGGAGCAGATGCGGAGCAGAAACAGAATAAAATAAAAATAAAATAATGTGTTCTGTCCTTGCCGTCTGTCAGATGTTAGCAGTCGGTAATAGTGCGCAGCGGAGAGAGAGAGAGAGAGAGAGAGAGAGAGAGAGAGAGAGAGAGAGAGAGAGAGAGAGAGAGAGAGAGAGAGAGAGAGGGAGGAATGCGGTCAATTGATGTGGAGGAAGAAGGTACTAGCTATGATCTTTGTGGCGTCACCACCGTTTTCGGACCGGTGCATGGAGCCTTTCCCTGGCTCTGTGTCTATTGGTGCTTCTTCCGTGTCTATCGGCGATTCTTGCAGGTAGGTGGGCAGGGTACCAGGGTCTAGTTAAGGTCTCAAGGCATATTCATACTATCATAACTACTGTCTTCGCCCGAATAGAACGCCTGGTCATTATGGCTGTATTAGGCACAAGCTTCAGTCCAGATGGCGCAATATCACCGGGCGTCTATTCGGGGGGAAGTGGATAGGCCCATTTCCGGTGGAATGTGCTGTAGCATAAGTTTTTTAACTCCGCTTGTGTACATTCCAGGAATTCTTCCATAACTCCTGTTGTATACATTCCAGACATTCCCAGTGTGAAAAAGCCCTAATGGATTGGACAATGGATTATGAATTCTACGTGATCAATTAGCTTTATTTGTTTTCGCTTTGTGTCTCAAACAGTGGTTCTGTTTCTTCAACTTTCTTGTGTTGTTGGTGTTTGGCAGGAAGCAGTGCGATCAAGGAAGCGGAAGATGGCGTAAGTCGTAAGCCCCGCGAGGACAGCAGGGAGGAGGAAGAGAAAGAGAATTGAATATCGATGTCTGCTTTGTGATACGGATCAAGGGATTTTGGAAAACGGTCAGTTTGCGAATGTACCCCCTGACCTTGGGGAAACATAGGTTATGCCCAAAGTTATAAGAGATATTGTCCACATAAACAGTTATGGGATCTATGGATTGTTTGAACAGTTCCATTCTTTCCAAACGGAGGAGAACGGCTGGAACATTGCTAAGCGGGAGTGAAAAATACGAAAAATAAAAAAGGAAGCGATAGAGAATGGCGTCTGTGATCCTCTTCCGCTTACGTCCATCTTGAGTGGAACGCGGGTCTGTATTTCTACAGTCCATCGGTGTAGCAACTGAGATAGGCCCATTGGTTTGGCATCTGTGATCCTAAGGTTTTCCTTACTTAGCCTTACACCGAGAGGTATGTGTCAGTCAGTACTTTCTCAGCCTTGGACCTCGTCCGTGCACTACGCACGGAATCGAACCGGCACCCTTGGGCCTCAGCTACAAGAGGGAAATTCAGCAAGAGGTACCTGGCTGCAGCATATTGCTAATACTTTAGGTTTACTTCTGGTATTAGGTCTTGGTCCATGAAGGGATGGATTGATGAAGTGGAAGAAAGAGAAGAGGCTTGAGCAGAGCGACACTCCTTTTCCGGTATGTCGACCATCCATGCACACTGCTGCTCTTTGTCAATATGCTGTGTGCTAATCACAGATTTTCGACAAGAGCAGCACCACAAAGATTGTTCACATACATCGCTCTGTGGCAGCAACATGTTGTTAAGGGGCCATTCCTTTGTGGCAATGGCTTGAGGTTGGCTTTCATGTATGGCCTTTCAGCAACAACTGTGAACGCCCCTCTTTCTTTTCAAGATTGCTCGTCACATTATTGATCACCTTTCTTCTGCGAACATGCTCTCTCTCTCTCTCTCTCTCTCTCTCTCTCTCTCTCTCTCTCTCTCTCTCTCTCTCTCTCTCTCTCTCTCTCTCTCTC